TTTTAGTTATCTGAGATTTTATTTATGTCTGCTCAGATTGCAAGTTTTGAATGTTTGAGACTCCACTTTCCTTGCAGGATTCGAGCTAAAACATGCCAAGGATGCATAGATCTTTTTCTGTTTAATTGTAAGGATGGAAGTGAAAAGCAAAGAAGGATAGAAGTGAAAAGCAAAGAAGGTTTTTGTCAGTTGGTGGTAGTTGAGTTTGTAGACTTTACTTTTAAAAGTTGTCTGCAATTTCCTTGGTCATTTAAGAAATTTGTTGATGTGGGGACTTTTAATAGACCATCTTGCTTTTAAACAATGCTGGGATGGGTAATGACCTCATTGGTGGGCACAGCACAATAATAAAGATGGAAAAATTTTTTTTTAGTATTTTCCAAAATTGTAAAGTTATGGAATATTCTTAAACTGTCCAATGACAACATGCATTTCTGGTACACTTTTGTGTGATGGTGAGAAGCTAGAGACCTTCTACAGGGTCACTAATGAAATGGACTCCAACTCCCACTCTGGATCTTTCACTCATAATCCACAAGGATTCATTTAACCAGCCAGATACTAATCATTTGCCAAGCTGAAAGGACACAATGCCCTCCCTGCCTGTAGCCCTTGTCTGTTGTGATTGCTACTGCTGGCTCCATTCTATAAGTGAGTCAGATGATTTAGATACATATATGTTTACTAACGCAATGAGTATGTTTTTCTTGGCCAGGCCCAGTATATTATTTGTGTTCTTGACAGGGAGAGCTATCACTGGCATTTTTTCCTGCTGTATTTGAACACTCAGGAACTGGTTGTGCAAAACTTATTTGCATCTTTTTTGTGTATTGCATGGGAGTGTCCTTGAGAACACCTTGTCAAGATTTACTAGTGTGATTTTTTAAATATTTAAAAATCAGTATCATTTAATTTCAGTGAATTTGCTTCAATTTATTGGAATTAATTACAAATACTTTTGTACTTATACTTTCTTTTATATATTTCAAGTATTAAGATAAAATTATTGCCTAATGCTGTATTATATGTCTGACATAGTAAAATTTGCTAACTGAGAAAGGTCACATATTGCTTATCAAGACTCTTCAGGGCCCTAAATACAGTTCTAAAATAGAAGAACCTTGTCAAAAATAAACAAGTAGGAGTATACTCTTTTTGTTTTAAAAAAGTTAAATACATTGGGTTGAGCTATTTTTTGTAAAGTTAATAAAGGAGGAATAGAGATTAGGAAAAATTTAGGAAATTCCGATCACTGCTTTTCACATTTAACCACATGATCCAGGACTTCATTTCCCAGAAAACTCCATGTCTGCCCAAGGGAACATTATTATGAGACAATGCAGAGATGTCTAAGGCTTATTTCCTCACTTAAAATTCATTTGCTCTCAAAGTTTCCTGTGGTACCAGGATATAGCATTAAAAGAGTTATTCTCTTTAAGTTCTAGCTATTTCTTATTTGCGTTTTGTTAGATCCAATGTAGCAGAGTACTGAAACATATTTGAAGTGTCCCTTCCTGCATACACAGTGCTCTCACTTGTGTTCTCATATGACACTCACCCTGAGGAAGATCTCACCATATCCCCATTTTCAGTTGTGAAACGGACGTTCAGAAAAGATAATCGATTTATCCAAGTCCTTTACCTACTAAATGCAGGACTTAGAGTCAAATCTTGTTCTCTTTTCTCAAAAGTTGAATAATTTAAAAATAAAAGTTAAAGGGAAATCCACAGTGTAATGTATTATATTCTTGTATAACTTGTTAACAAAACATATCATCATAGAATTTTAAAGCTAGAAATCAACCAAGTCTTGTTTTTCAGACCTCGGTTTAGATGTCATCTCTTTAGAAAGACCTTCTGTAATTACCGTAACTCAACAGCTTGTTGGTTTTACAATTTATGGTTTCTGATTTTGATCATGGAACTTGGTTTTTTTTTTTTTGAGACGGAGTTTCGCTCTTGTTACCTAGGCTGGAGTGCAATGGCGCATCTCGGCTCCCCGCAACCTCCGCCTCCTGGGTTCAGGCAATTCTCCTGCCTCAGCCTCCCGAGTAGCTGGGGTTACAGGCACGTACCACCGTGCCCAGCTAATTTTTTGTATTTTTAGTAGAGACGGGGTTTCACCATGTTGACCAGGATGGTCTTGATCTCTCGACCTCGTGATCCACCCGTCTTGGCCTCCCAAAATGCTGGGATTACAGGCTTGAGCCACTGCGCCCGGCCGGAACTTGGTTTTTACTTACATCTTTCATTAGACTGTAACGTTAGTGAAGACATAAATTGTGTCTACCATGTTCACTAGCAAAGCCCCAGCAGTTAGAATAGTTGCAGGCACATGGTAGGCATTAGAATAAATATTTTTTGATCAATTACATGAGGTTCAGAAACTTAATCTAATTTATTCAGGACCAAGTATTTATTAGTGGCAAATCCATTAGAACCCTGGAATCCTGTTTCCTGTTGTGCTGCAATGGCTACTTGCCTGCCATGCCTAATTCCAGCTTCTCAATTTGCATGAGAAACCCTCATCTGGTTCCCAATGACTCCCCAAAGTACCCCTAAAAAAGGGAAAACTTACTCCCACCCTTCTCCTTCGTCCAAAGTCAGATAACAAAGAACAAAGTTGTGAGGGACAAATGCTTTCTACTGTGAGTAGAAATGGTTTTGGTTAAGGTTTTTGTTTGTTCGGTTGGCTTTTTGTTCATCTATCTTTCTGGCAATTCTGGTTTAGACTTCTTAGACTGGTGAATAATCTAAATGTCAACCAGAGAGTCTGAACTTCTATGAGTAACTCATGTGTCACATAATCTGTGTGGCATAGCACTGCGTCACGCCTGCAGCAGAATACTTTGGGAATTTTTTAATTAATTACATACACTGCTGTCAACAATGAAAAGAAAGGTGTTTAGGTATCAAAGAACCAACTGAAACTTCCACCCAAAAGCAAATCCAAAGTGGGAAAGGTGCCATGAGCTCAGATTATTTTAAAATGTACAGATAAAACCAACTTCAAGTACAAATTCTGCAGAAGAAGGAGTGCATACTAGGTCTCAGACACCTTGTGAGCCACTTTACTTTTATTATTCCTAATCTTCCCATTTCAAAGAGAGAAAATTCTAGTCTCTAAGAAACTCAGTGACTTGCCAGGTTTCTCAGACTAAGTTACAGTACATATATTTTATTTCCAGATTCAGTTGACTCTTCAGATGCTCCTACGTCATGCTATTATGACATTGGGTTAGCTGTAAGTCTGGTAAGGCAAACCTGCAACCAGCACCTCCTCTACTTCATGTTTGCAGTAGAAGCTGCCTTTATAAAGCTTCCGTGAACCCAACAAACCTATATATCTTAGGGTGCATTGTCATTCAAAGCATCTCTCCATCTCTTCTAAATTATGATAGCTAATAATAGAAAATACAAAATATATAACAAACATAACTACCTTTTTAAATAGGATAAAATTACATAAGACATAACTTATGTCTATGAAATTTATGTCTATTTTATAACTGTTATGAAACTATTTTCATCTTTTATAGTTTAAAAATATGTGCAAACCGCCAATCTGTAACAGATTTTTCTCAATTTGCTGGTGCATACTCTAGCTTAGGGATTAACGAAATATCAAAACAGATAGTAATATATACGTTTTCAGGGAAGAAAAGGGTGGGTCTATATAGCCCAAAGTTTTTTTAATTTATTCGATAGACCCTAGAGTTGATCTTGAAAATTGCCAGATGAGTAGGCTGTCCCAGCCCTGAGAAACCACTAATCCTGAAGCAGCAATTTCCAAGGCAGGCTTTGGAGCACTCCACTGTCTTTCACCTCAAGGACTATATGAAAGTCACTAGCTGAAATCCACACAATTAATATTAAACACAATGTATTCTACATGATTCTTTTAAGGGGTGGAGTAATAATCTCAAAAACAAGCTATGGTAGATTTTTGTAGCTGCAAAAATTTAGATAATTTAATAAGGCAGGATTTAAAACAACCTAAGAGGTATTGTAGACTCAAAACGAAATTCAGTTCTTAAAGAGAATCATGACCAATACGTATGGGTTATGAAAAGAAAGTAGAATATTTGGGTGGTAATTTCCCTGTTCTGTGTAACTACTTTCAGGTCAGATATGAAGGTCCTAAAACAGGTCCTATTTTTCACGAGTCAGGAAAGGACACTAGACTGCATGGTCTGTGGTCTGACCCATGGAAAGTTCTTCTGATTGTTGAAAAATACTGTACATTGTAGAGCTTCTAGCTGTGAAATGTTTTGAAAGAAACCTTAGCCATGTACTTTGGAATCATATTAATGTCCTGTGGCCTTAGAATTGGCTCTAGAAGTTTTCAGTTAAATATTAGCCATTACACCTGCACACAGAAAAAGTTGTAGAAAGGCTTAAATGGAAAAACAAAAGAGTAACTGAATAATGTACCTTAATTCCTTGATTTTTCTCAGTTACTATGATGATTTATGTCATCTGTTGAAAAGGGCTTCTGCTATATTTAATTATATTTAATACACCATCATCTCAAGTCTTCAGAGTTCCTTTTTTTTTTTTTTTTTTTTGGTCTTTCTCTATTACAGACAGAATAACAGGGGAGGGTCAGGCATATGAAATAAAATTGTGAAGTTCCAGGAACAGTTTTAGCTCTTACGTTTCTCATTGGAAGAAAAGGTGTCTGTCAAAAAGAAAAATTCAAAAATTTTGAATTATCTGAAAATATATAGTGCCCCTAAAACTAGCATATATAATGAGTGTATGGCCTGGAAATCCCGTCTCTTCATAGGCTATTCGGACATGCAGTATCAGGACCATATTTACAGAAGAAAAAAAAAGATAAAGAAAATTGTCATTCATCTGAAATTCAAATTTACTGGGTGCCCTAAATTTTTATTTGCTATATTTGGCAACCTTATATATGTGGAAGCATACATATAGTTTATAAATATTATATATATAGTTTAAAATGCATAGTGAATGTATCAGTCTTTAGGTATAGTTACAGTATCTTTTGTCCATTTGATTATTACATCACTACAGCAACTTTCAGAGTTAAGACAATGTTGGATCATGAGAAATTGCTATAAACATTCTTATGAGAATCACTTCGAGTCTAGGAAATGTCAGTTTTTTAGTGTTTCAATAATGTGTATTATATCGTCTCTTGAGAAGTTTTCAGAAATTCTGAGAAAAAATGGACAGCAGAAAAGGGTTAGATAGATGGGAAGAAATATCTAACAATTTGGAGAGCTGTTCAAGCCCTAATCTCAAGTTGTAGAGTAGATATATTCAAATTTATTTGATCTTTTGATATTTTTCAATTCTGAATGAAGGCACTGGTGGTTTTTCTCTGCTCTGCCTTTTAATACGTCACTTAAGCAGATACTTGTCCTTTGAGTAAGTAGAATTCATTCTACTTTTGCTTCATCCTAATTTTTGATGCGGAACAATGGTAGATGTATTCATGCTTGTTTTTCATTAGATACTTACCTATTGATTACTACCTCTCTGGGCAGTTAAGAAAAGAATCACTCAATTCTAGTATGTTTACAAGAGTTTCTTTCTGATTTGGCACATGGACAGTGAGAATGACCTCACTGTGTTTGTTCCCTGGCACATCAAAGCTTTGCTGCAGATGTTAGTACAGCAGAACTTGTTTGCTAAGATGACCCATTATGGAACTCTAGCTGATTAAGCAGATGTTAATGGATAATTGCATGTCCATGATTACTTCTTTGACCATATTACCAACTCAACTCAATTTCACTTGCTTTTCAAATAAGACAAAACTGTCAATAAAGAAACTGGACATCAAGTTTCAAAAGATTGGTAGAGTTTATAGGGAAATGCAAAAAGGAGGGAAGAGATGATACACACATTGTCAAATATTCTGAAATGTTAAGAATTGTGGAAATTGTAAGTTTCATAAGGAGTTTTAGACAAAGGACACTATAGCCCCCATTCTGTTTTTTTCTTTTTCATTTTAAACTTAGATTTGCTTTACTTCTTTGGGTCTTCATTTCTTCCCATGCAAAATCTCTGAAAGTCAAAAGGAAGGTTAGAAGCTAGCCATTTCACCTCTAAAGAAATTAACTTAGCTTACCCAAGATTACACTTGTGGTTAGTGCCAGAGCTAAGCCAAGGATAAACTCTGTTGACTTCATTTCTCACTAAACTGTACCACTGCAGTCTACCGCTACTAGCATTCTGTGCCTTCAGGAAGAATTTTCAGCCTCTTCACTTTCCTGATGCCCAGGAATTCTTTTTAAGTTATGACTAACAAAGTATAAAATATGAGTCAAAAGTTAGTCCCTAATAAAGTCATTGTGACTCTAATGACTTCGGCAGTTGTTTCATACTGCAAAAACAGGAAAATCCCACACAATAAGGCGCCTGTCTAACAGCTGGGCTCCTGCGTAGAAGGCCACCCACAAGAGTAACTAACTGCCGGGGCTGTCTTCCTCTCTTTGACACCTTTTTATCCCCTGTTCTTACAGTTTTCCCCTATTGACCTCATGAGGTTATCAATGAGAGGAGGGTACCTGCTTTAGCTAGTCTTTGATAGGCTGAAGAATAGTTTTGATCACTTAGGATTCACTCCTAAGTGATTTTCAGTTCACCCTCAATAGGCCTAACTTAGTCTTAGAAGTAGCTCTTTGATGGGCTTTATACAAGCTTCCTGTATTATCATTCTTCTGGATTGTTTTATTCTCAAAAACATAAAATCACCAAATTTTAGATGTGAGAGGACCCTGCGATCATTCCAATTCACTCCTCCTATGTGATTAGTTCAACTAAAAACTCATCATGAAGATAGTACCTATCTTGCCAATGGATCTTTGCATAAAGCTCAAACTAGTTCTCCCATGAGAAATATAGAGAAGTAAGGAAGTGTCCTATCAACTCAGAAGAAACTGGCTCAGAAGAAATAACCTCTGTATGCAGTGTTGAAACTAAAATAAAATGGAAGCCATCAAACAAAATGTTCCTACCAAGTGTAATTGAATTTCAGCGCTTGTTACTTATTCTCTACTTTTAAGATGACTTTTCACTATTAAAGGAACTTACTCAAAAAAAAATCAGACAATTTTATAGAAAAGGTATATTCTAGGCAAATAATATTAAATCACTTATTTTTCACTATTAAAGGAACTTATTCAAAAAAATCAGACAATTTTATAGAAAAGGTATATTCTAGGCAAATAATTTTAAATCACTTATATAGAAAACATACCTACTTCCCTTTTCAAAAAAATAGCTGCAATTTCTAGCAGTGTATGTGAATCTAGTGTTGGGCATCAGCTTAAGAAGCCTTTGGAGGAATTTTTATTACTAAGAGTTCATTCATAAATTTTACTTGTCTGTGTTGAAAAGGGGCACTAGCCATTTCCTCTGGGGACATTATTTCTAGGTAGGCTCTGACAGGGTTTTCTTGTGAAGGCAGATTCTTAGGAAAAATAGTATCTGTGTACATGAGATGGTAGAGACACATTTATCTTTAAAATAGTGAGTTCCTGTTTATGGATTTCTCTACTGCATTTGATTAAATAACACCCATTTCCTTTCAATTCAGTAACTCCTTGGGAAACAGTTTTACCCAGAGGCTATTTTACCTTCAAATCTGGACTAAACATGCAACTTAATAAATAGAGAGACTCCAAAAGTCTTAGACTGTAAAACTGAGGAATGATAAATGCTTCTCTTCCTTTGTTACGGTCTGAAGCATTTTCAGTCTGAGTTGTTTTCCTCAGTCATGTGGAGGGAGTTTTGTTTTCTGGGAAATCTTGGTTGCTGGTAAATAATGTGTACAAACTGTAGGAGGCAGCCACAAAATTTATTATACGGTATAAAAGGTTAGGGTTGAAAGGCTGAGATCCTAAAATCATGCATCATTCTCATTTTACACATGAAAGGTGATGTGACTAAACAGGAGAGTGAGAGCTGAGACTGAAAAGTCAACATCCGTCTACTACTGCATCGCAGCTGCCTCTGGCTCGCCAGAAACACTCCTATGTGGGAGTCAGATGCTAAAAGCCCAACTAAGCCTAGATCCTCAGCTGTCTCCTCAGGCTTAACCTCAAACATAATTCCTATCTATTCTATTTCTTAATGTGTCTCATCACACAGTTAAACAGTAGTCATACTAACTGGACGCTACATAAACTAGAATGTAAAAGATACCCTTCTACCCCCGGCCCCCCACTGTCTGCTCCTTGAAGGCCATGTCTGCCTTTCTTAGTGGTACAGAGCCCTAAGATAGCATAAATGGGCCCTTCATAAGTGCTTTTTGATGAGAGCAATGAATGCCTTCGTCAGTGTGGTTGGGCCCTCCCTTATGGAGAAGGAAAACCAACAGTCGTTGCTAAGCAACATTAAAGGACTAGGTTAGTTTCTGACACCAAGTGACTGCCATCTGCATACTTCACCATGTTTTGTGTTTTATGGTTGCCTTGAGATGACTTTGCTTTTTGGTAGCATTACTACGCCCTTAGCAAAGGCGTATAGAAGAACTAGTTTAGACCTCGAAAGGAGGAAGGTGATATTCATCTGTTAATGTTTTACATGGGTACACTGATCCCTTTCGTAAACTATACGAGAAAGGTGAGGAGTTTGGTTTATTTTCACCCCGCAGCTGTGAACCACCTCCCTGATCTCATATTGGAAGTGATTGACAATGTATCCCAACAGGGTCCTATGGCAATGGGAGGCTATAGAAAGAAAATAAACGGAGAAGTCTTTCCTCTTACAGCCTTTTATGATTCAATTTGTACCTGCTCCCATCTTCTGAGCAGAGATGCTGATACAGCTGATAAAGAATGGGCCCTATTCTCTCCAGACCGTTTGCTGTTGTGGTTAAACAACATGCCCTAAAATACCTATTTCTACTAGAATGAAAGCTGATTAAAAGCAGGAGAAGCATTTTTGTTTGTTCCTTTGTTATTGTTGTTGTTTTCACTGCTATATCATCAGTATTTTCCCTGGTCATTTTAGATATTCAATAAATAGTGGGAAAATACATGGAAAAAAGGGCATTCTTGAACTAACACAAAGCTAATTGACTCTAAAACGTTCCTAAGTATTTCAGAGAGACTAAAGGAAGCAAAATGAGACGATTGTTTGAAAGTTACATTTGGCTAAGTCTAGTGCAGAGAAAATTATGGAAAAAATTATCTGTCTCTAAGCTTTTTGCAAGACACTTTTACGATGATCCAAGTAAAGTTTACCTCTCAGCCAAAATTCAGTTTATCGGTCAGAACATATAAACCTGTCTTCTCCAGCCTCGGAGTCTGCAGCGTGTCTGTCTTTTGAGGATTTAAAATGGGAGGCGATTGTGACTGAGCAGTTGTGTCTTTAAAAACAAATAACTTGGAATTCATGCAATTCACCTGGAGTTCAAAATTGCACTGAGGTTCAATAAGTAAAACATTCTATCTGAGATGATTGATTCAGAGATGCCTAGTTACTAACATATTGTATAATGGGAAGCACACACACATACGCAAGCAGGGTTACCCAGAAAGAGGGTGATTGGACATCTTTGAGAACAATGCATGGTGCAGTGAGCCAGCAGGCAGAAATACTGACTTGCATTGGCTTCACTTCCAAAAGCCAAGTCTCCTAGGCACAGGCGATGGCATGACCTGGGGCTTGGATACTTGAAATAAAGCTATTGTTGGATGCGGATGCTCATTTGAAAGGGGAATGCCTCACAGGAAAAAGAGCCAATTGCAAGTTGGGGCTGTTGCCATGGTGCTTTGCTATTCCTTCAACTTACTATAAATGAAATCCTGGGAGTCCAAGGGTAGGGGAACCAAGGGGAGAGATGAGGGAAATGAGATGAGCCTGGGGGCGGAATCCCACTGCAGTAAAGCTCTAGTGTTTCCTCTTGCCTGTGCTCTAAGGCTGACAAGGAGAAGGGAGGGGCTGGGAAGAAGGGAGAGAGAAAACTGCAGGGAAGGAATGACTTTCTCAACATGCCTGGAATTGCTAACATAAAATAAAAATTAATTTAAATCCTCAGATTTCTAATGTGAATTAGAAGATCTAACACTAAACAAGCATAGTCACTCATAACCCCAAGTAATTCACCATTCTTTCAGTAAATGAACGTTCATATTTCCTAACACACTCTCAATCCTAGATGGAAAGGTGAAAAGAGTTTAATACATTTGTCGTATGCAATCTAACATGCATATTAATGAGCTGATGGAAGGCAGAAACATGCACGCTGCATAGGAAGTACGTTTCAAATGAAATAAATTAATCTCATTCCTATTCATTTTACTATGAAAAGAGGCTAAGTGCATTGGCATACGTTGGTGTCTGACAAGTAATCCTCCAAAAAGCTAGTTTTCAAAAATTCTTGCATACTGGCAGCCTAGTCTGAAAACAGCCACAGTTCTAACCTTTTTGAAATGTTTGTTTAAATGTTCAGAAGTCGGTTAATCAATGCATCATCACTTTGATCAATTAAAACAGCTGGATTTTTGTGCAGAGGCTGCATCTGCAGAATTCTGGTCTGCAGTGGAGAGAGGGTTAAGGAACACCTAGTTGAAATGGGGGAGGGTATCGACTTCAGATTTACTTAAATATTCATGGGGCTTCCTCCATTTTAATCTTCTCCTTTTTAAAAGATGGCTGTGTTTCCTAGTCTGGCAATTCCTCAGGAAAGAAGAATTGCTTCTTCCTTGCAGAGTTCAGCTGAGTAGGACTAATGTAGAGTGGAAACCCCTTCGGCCACCAGGACTATTCATAATTCATAAGTGCTTCAAACCAGCCAGCTGAATACATTTGGACAGGCTCTTGCTCCTTCATGCAATTCCTGATTTCATTACTCTCTTCTGCCAGGAAATAAGCGTGGAGCATAGGCTTCTTGCAAGAATGGAGTGTGAAGATGGGCTTTGTCTGGCTTAGGAAATGCCATGCATTTTGGAGGTTTTGTCTTTTCTAAGTTTTGATTATTTTGTCACTGGATCTGCAGGGCTTTCCTGATCCTTTCAGGATTGCTCTCTCAGAACTGTGAATTCTTTCAAAGGGATTTGTGGACTGTGGCAAAGAGAGCATTCCAAAATGCCTGAAGCAAATTATTTGTTATCTGTATCTTGGGGTTACATCAAGGTGGGTTAATTTTATTGTGTTCTGTGTCTTTGACAAAATGTGAAACATTTACCTCTGTGTGTTTTCTGTGAAGTAGAGGACATCTGTAATGATTTAATTTGTGTGTTCATTTAACCCACTGGGACCTCTTATTTTGAAAGAAGAGCATGTTATATTACATTTTATTTCAGTGTACTATGCTGTGTTTTAAACCTATTCTTTTTACTTAGCTCTGTTTTTTAAAAGATCCTTTTTTCTTTTCTTTTTCCCTTAAATTTTTCACATATAATCTCCTCTCACCAAATAGGTTGTTAAATTATATTTTAGAGGTAATTTCTGACAAATGTATTTTTAAAAGTAGTTACAGTTTCAAGTGGAATGATCTTGACCTCTATTAAAATTCCTTTTCCTATGTTTGCATCTTCAAAAGTAATCAAATGTTAATTTTAAGAAATCTTTTCCCAAAGTGACGTTGGAATAATTTCAAATTGAAGAGATATTTTGTAGACACAGTGTTATTTATCTAATGGTATCTGCTCATCCAGTCTCTTCATTCCTGGACAGTAAAGTTGGAAACATTTAAAGTGAACATTTGCTCTTTTTAAAGTGGTTAATGCATTTTTGTTCTTTATAAACAGTTCAAGAGAATGCTGAACCGGGAGCTGACACACCTCTCAGAGATGAGCCGATCAGGGAACCAGGTGTCTGAATACATTTCAAATACTTTCTTAGGTAAGATATTAACTGGAAAAAAACCTGTTTTATAACTGGGGTTTTCAGAATTAATTTCTACAACCTATCAAGGACATCCCCATGTGAATTTGGGATGGAGTTGAGTCATAGAAAAATCCATTTAAAATAGTAACTAAGACCAGTCTTCAAAAGAAAAAAAATAAGCAGGAAGATCATCATGTTTTTGAAAAGAAGAATTAAAATACCCATCCGAGAGAGGGTTATTATGGGCTAACTGTGTTTAAACGCCTTGTCTGCCTGCCCACTTCCATCTTTGCTAAGACCTGTGAAGTAATGAGAGAAATCCAATCACCCAAGTCCTAGAGGCAGCGCCATTGGCTCCTCTGACAGGGTACTCTTTCAATTCTTTCAATAACTGGGCTTTGAGCAAAAGGTTTCCTCTATAATGTTTTGAAGGGGATGTGGCTGAAGAATAATTCTACAGTGATTTGGTCTGTAAGAATAAGCTTTGCAACTACTTTGGCTATTGCTTAGCTAAGTTATTTAGGATGGTAAGGGGGAGAATTTTAATATTATCTGAAGGATTTCATCTTCTGCAAGCAGCCTCATTATCTTCCCAATCTGATGTTTTATCTATTATTGTCTGTTGTTACATTACTGGTATTTAACACGTGATATTGATCAAAAAGGATTACATGAATGGGTCTCAACTATTGTCATGCATGTTATTTGATTATCTGGGATTTTTGAATTCAGACTTAAAGGCAACTATTGTATAATGAACCTATTTGGACTGTTTTGATTTAAGAAGTCCTACAGAATCTGCAAGTCTGTACATCAAAGTAAATGGATGGCATTTAGATTCTGATTCTGTTGCATCCTCTCTTCTTTTTGGCATAGCCATATAGCATTAAATCAATGAGCATTTTCCTTGATGCCTTATTGAAACAAATACCTCTTCTGGTTTTATTTCTAAAATCAATCCTATTTCTCTAACACCTAAGCAGTTCTTGCTATCAGCAGATCCATCAGCCTTCTCTTTGAGCAGCCTCATACAAAGCTTACTGTATTACTCTGCAGTGGATGGTCACCAGACATGATTATCAAGTGCCTTTCTAACTGTTTCTAGTATGTGAATGTCTGCAGTACATGATTTTCTTCAGCTGCAGTTGCAACACCTTTGTCAAAGAACAAAGGAGAAGAATTTTCATCCATCCTAGCTCCCAGAGGTGCCTAGAATCTAACTCTACAAAAAACATTACACGCCGATCCTTTCTTCTCCCTTTATGCCTTTGAAGACAGGGATCTTCTGCTGAGCAATTTCAGATACACCCTGGTCTGTGTAACGCCCAATTATTTGTCACTAACTGGGAGCTGTTTTAGGGATATTTTACCAGTTAATGACTGTGGGAGAAGAGAATAAAATCAATAATGCAAGAACCAATTTTTGTCTTCATAAGCATTGCATTTTAAAATATGAGGGCTTGAGGACGTCTCAGAAGAGACTGTTACTACTGGAGTTAAAGTTATATGAAATCTCTGAAACCTTAATCATCCAAGACTGGACCTAAGCAGTCCTCTTGCTTTGTAGTCTCTTTCAATAGCTGCTTACCAAGGACAACAAGGATATCTTAGTCTACTAATTAATCTTTTTTATCACTATAGGTAACCAAGAAAGAAGGTTGGTAAGATAATAAATATAATTCATTCCTCAGAATAGAAAAAAATAAGAAGAAAAATTTAAAAAGATAATAAATATGAGCTCTCAGTCTCAACACTGTCTTAAGATCAGGCAAACGTCAACTTTTTCTTGCCTATTCTACTTGCTATTTAGGCAGATCTCTTGAGGAAAATCAGTCATCTGGCTCCTCATTGTTCCAAAAATTAAATTCAAGAGCCCATTGTTGAGAAAGATTATTAGAATCTCAATTTTTATAGACTCTTAGCATTAGGAGGGTGGTGTATGTGAGTGGGTGTATGTGTTTGAGGGTGTATGTGGTAAACCCCATCAAATAGACTGGACAGGCAGATTAGAATTTTAAATGTTTCTGAGAAAACAGAGAAAGAATAAAACCCATCATATGACAAAAGATGCATCAGTTGCCTCACCTGTAAAATGGGAGCAGTGGTATAGATGACATCTCATCTCCCTTCCAAATCTAACTTCCTATGACTCTGATATGAACTGAGTTTATCAGTTTTGCTAAAAGACATGCCTGGCCACCTAGATTCTCTGTGGTGAACCCTAGGCTTGTAATTTGACAATCTTAAAAAACAAGCACATGAAGCTTGTTTCCAGACTGCCTATGCAGGGCATGGAACTTTTAGTTTTAACCTGTGAGCATGGTGAATGTGCCTGGAAGACCACGAAGCCTTCTTCATAAACTTACAGATCTCCAAGGGAACCTAAAACCCTGTAGTTCAATTCTCTCATTTTATAGGAGAGAAAACAGGGGGCCCAGAGGGATGAAGTAACTTGACCAAGATCACTTGGCTAATATTTTCCTCAGTCAGAACTAGGACTTTGCTCTCTTGACATCTAGACCTAAATACCTTGTCAATCCTTCAGCAAGGAAAGAAGGCTGTTAGGAATGCAGAACATATAGAAGAAAATCACATAAGGACTCTTAAGTAATACATAAAATATTTTGGCAACAAGTCTTTAGGAATCAGAATGGTTGGACCTAAAAATAAAATGTTTACTAACAGGCTGGGCATGGTGGCTCATGCCTGTAATCCCGGCAATTTCGGAGACGGAGATGGGCAGATCACTTGAGGTCAGGAGTTTGAGACCAGCCTGACCAACGTGGTGAAACTCTGTCTCTACTAAAAATACAAAAATAGCTGGGCATGTTGGTGCATGCCTGCAGTACCAGCTACTCAGGAGGCTGAGGCAGGAGAATCACTTGAACCCAAGAGAAAAAGGTTGCAGTGAGCCAAGATCACACCATTGCACTCCAGACTTGGCGACAAGAGGGAAACTGTGTCAAAAAAAAAATGTTTATTAACAGTTTCCAATAATAGGAAAGGTCCTTGTAAGACCATAGCAACCATCTCAGTGAGCACAAAATAAGAAGATCTTAGCAATTTACCTTAAACTTGAAGAGCAACATCTCAATAATAGCCATTAAATGTTAAAAATGTGTCATCCAGAGAGGAGGGAAATCCCTTAATCTAGAGATATATGAAACTTGCGTTGTTCCTATCTTTAAAAAAAAAAAAAAATGGTGCAGGAGGATAGGGAGAAAGGCTGGCAGCAGATTATATTTACCAGTCCAGGCACTCACTGATGCTGTCATATAATGGGCTCGTGGCTGCCGGTACAAGGGGAAATAGAAGTGTCTAATTTCAGGGGAAATAAAGCAGGACCTAGGGAGGAGGAGAATAAATAATGCAAGATTTTTATATGTTATATTACAATTAGTTAATATTTTCATGAACAGAGAAAAGTCATCCTTTTAAATCCTCTACTTACCATCTCAAAAGCTAGAACTTAGAATTTTCAAGATGCCAGGAAAAGAGCTTAGGAATTTTGCATAATTGAAAAGTGTGATCTAGCAAGACATGAACCTCAAATTATGCCAGTAACAGAATTTAGGTGAGACTAATTTTCGTATCTGCTTTTTGTTTGTTTTATACTGGCCAACTGTTTGCTCACTGTATTCTGACCATTCTATAAATGTAAATTCACTCAGTGTTTATTGTGATTTTTTTGAGTCTGAATTTCCGATTATTTCCACACTGTGCTGGCTAAGCATTTAATAGAGGAAATTCAGAATAGGGATACCTATCAGTTGTTCCAATGCCTGCATAGGGAAACACCTATTAATGTCAAGTTGGCACTCTTTGTGAATAATAGTCTTCTTTACTGCAGTGTTCCAGACACAGTAGTGGTTCAGCTCAATTACTCACTGGTGCAGTGAATCTTTAATTAAACAAAGGGAAAAAGCTGCTAGTCTTACTAGAAATGGTTATGTGTGCAGTGACACAGGAGAATCTAAGAACCTTTTTAACCAGAGGTAAAGAATGGTGGTTAGAAAGGCAGGCCCTATTATGGCCTTTCATTTTAGCAAAAAGTAGTATAATAGACGTCAAAGCGACAGGGAAAAAAGTAATTTCAAAATAATATAATATGTAGTTTTTGTGCCAGAGATTGTGTGGCAGGAAAGAGATTTTTAATAGGAAGCTCAAGGCCCGGGTTCTATGCTATTAAATCACTGTGTCTGGAACAAAGTGATTGCAAAATAAATATCTGTTAAATAAATTGCCCTTTGAGCTTGGGCAAGTTGCTGACTTCATCTGAAAAATGAGAGTGTGGGATTGTTATTGGTTCTCAAACCTGGCTCTGGTTATCCAAGTCACTTGGGAATCTTTTAAAAAAATACTGATTCAGTAGGGTTGGGTGGGGTTGTAAATCTGTATTTTTCTGAAGTTTCCTGGGTGCTTCTGATGGTGGACTAGGTTGGAAACCCCTAAACTAATTGAGATGACCACTAAAATTCCTTCCTAAGCAAAAGTCATAGGCTTGTGAGCGTAGGTGCTTGTGGAACCTAGGGACAATATTGAGACGTTAGGGATGGAGAATTCCCTTGCTTCAGCCCCACAGAGAAGTAGTGAGGTGTACACAAAGCTGGTGCTGTTTCACTGTTCTTGCTTTGCTCTGATGAAGTGTCCACAGGGACCTATGAGCAGCCAGAGGTCTCTGGGGAAAACATGTGACTGTGCCATTATCTGCAAAAGTCTGAAAGCAAATCGTCTAGATCCCAGAATGCCATCTGGGAGCATGTCATTTTCAAATGGACAAGTTGTCTTGCTACTAATTTTCACTGTAAGTAGCAGTGATAAATGTAGATACTTTTGAAGGCTGCATTAACTCTTTCAGACACAGAGTGTCATTTAGTTCAGTGAAGTAGTTGTTATGCAATTTAAGAAACGATTGCCTCTGTGCACTCATTTGTTAATGAGTGGCATCCCTGTGGCCTGAAAGAGTTAATGCATTTTTTCAGAAGTACTTAGGATACAGCTCCCTGTGAAGTGAAATGGCATATTTGATTGCTGATATTTTTAATAGCCCAGTGTAAAGGAAAGAGCTTCTATAAGCAGGTAGGCACTTTTTTTTTCACTAATCCTAGCTCTGCTGTTACCTTGTTGTAACATAATTTTTAAAAATATTATGAGGTATCATAAATACTTAATAACCTTAAATATGTTGATAAGTATAATGCTTATTATAAATGAGAGGCCTTATTATTTATTAGTAGAATTAATAGATACAAGGCATGAAATAAAACTGAAATTATAGTCTTCCTCTAACCTCAGTGGTAATAAACCAAGCCCTTAAAGTAATTGTTTAAAGATTATGAACCACTTATATTTCTAACATAAATACTGCTTATATAAACTGAGCCCTTGCTAAAGCCTTATGGATTTTTAAATTTTTTTAAGTAAAAATAAGATGAGCAGAACATGAAGCCTGATTTTTTATTAATCTGATGAACATTTTTATTATATAAAAATATGTTACTCACTTTATTTAAAAATCTACATGTAAATTTTGGTGCTTCATCTTGCAAATGTATAAGTGTAATTCTCCTAAATTATGCTGAAAACAGAAGATTTGGGCTTGTATCCTATTTTTTCTGCTTCCTGGACAAGTTACTCTGTGCCTTAATTTGCCTAGCAATAGCATGGTACACAAATCTTATTTTCCTTAACAAATTTTATATTTTCCCTGCTTATTTCACAGAACTACCCTAGAGATACAGCGAAATTGTGCTATAAGAGTTCTTTATAAGATTATAAAGCTGTTATAGATGGATAGAGTTGCTCTGAATATTGCAATGGGTTCTCATAGACATGTGTGCTGAAAAACATAATCCTTTGTGTGTTGCAGACAAACAGAATGATGTGGAGATCCCATCTCCCACCCAGAAAGACAGGGAGAAGAAGAAAAAGCAGCAGCTCATGACCCAGATAAGTGGAGTGAAGAAATTAATGCATAGTTCAAGCTTAAACAATACAAGCATCTCACGCTTTGGAGTCAACACTGAAAATGAAGATCACCTGGCCAAGGTGTGTATGAGCTCAGTTTTTGCTGATGTATCTCTCTGCTTTACAGCAGACAGATGACCATATACCTTTTAGAAAATAGTAGGGATTGCTTTTGCATTATTATTCAGTTTTGCGTTAGGGAAGTTCATTTGAAATGAGTTTACTGTGAGCGGTAAGGCCTCTGAAAGCTGTCATTAGAGGAAGGTTGATTAAACATTAGGCCAAGTCTGGGGGAAAGCCTGGATCTCTTACTCTGGGTAGTTATTAAGAATGAAATAAACTGGTCTTTAAATCAGATAACCTTGGAATAATCCCACAACACAGGCCTGAGTGATGTTTCTTCCAGGTCCATCTGTGGCCCAGGAGCCCTAGGATGTAATTCATGACTGGCATTCTTCATGATCTTTTACATTAAATTGGGTTGACTTATGCACATTCTGACAGCTGAATCTTCGTGATCTGGCTTTCAGTGATGATAACCAACGGGCAGAGGAGTTTTCCCTGAGACTGTTTTCCGGTTATTACTAATGGGCCAATAAGCAGCAAGAGGAGAGACAGGGAAATTGAACTAGAGTGATCTCTATTCACTTGTGGCCACCTTTGAAAGCAACATTGATTGAGAACTGATGCACATGCAATATAGGTCAGCAACTGAATTTATAAATACATACTCTGCTTTTTCTGAATAAAAAATGTTAAGAAACTTGTAGCTAACATGAAGAGGACACCCGACCTCTTAGGCCATTTAACTTTCAGATTTTCATGCAACTAAAGCACTCTAAGGAGACACTCTAAAGACTTAAGCAGCCCGTGTCCAAAAAATAAATTAAGAGATGAGTCATATTAGCACAACTGTGCTTATTTCTAAATTCCTCTAAATTTTTAATTACAGGAGCTGGAAGACCTGAACAAATGGGGCCTTAACATCTTTAATGTGGCTGGATATTCCCACAATAGGCCCCTAACATGCATCATGTATGCTATATTCCAGGTGAGTGAACAGGAGTGAATGTTGGCTTTCCAACTTGATGGCTCTTTATGATTTTTTTTTCCATCTTACTTTTCTGATTTAACTTTCCTCCACCTTTGAACATCTACTTATTTATGTCCTAATCCATTTTACAACATAGGAAAGAGACCTCCTAAAGACATTCAGAATCTCATCTGACACGTTTATAACCTACATGATGACTTTAGAAGACCATTACCATTCTGATGTGGCATATCACAACAGCCTGCACGCTGCTGATGTAGCCCAGTCGACCCATGTTCTCCTTTCTACACCAGCATTAGATGTGAGTAGTTATGATCTGTTTTGCATTCCTGACCATCCTCCTCCAAAAATTCCATGCTAGCTGGAGTAGTAGCATGTGCCTGTAGTCCTAGCTACTCGGGAGGCTGAACTGGGAGGACTACTTGAGCCCAGGAGTTCAAGGTTACAGTGAGCTATCATTGCTCCCCTGGACTCGAGCTTGGGCAACAGAGCGAGACCCTGTCTCTAAAAAAAAAAAAAAAAAAAAAAAAGTGCCTTACTATATGCAATATACTTACAAAAACAATGTAATTAGACCACCCTGCATGCTTGAACTGGTTCTTTATAGATGTATAGCATCTATTCACTTAGTTATTAGAAAAAATGAACGACATTTCTACTTGCTTTGCTTTCTAATATCAGTGTAACCTTCCCTTCACATCTCTTACAATTAAAAGTTGTTTAACAATAAAGCAATTAACAGAATTTGAGGGCAGGAATCATGTCTTATTCTTCATTGTCTTTCTAGTAAGGGATGCAATGTATCTCAAAGTGTCTTGTTCAGTATCTGGTAGACAGTATAGTCTCAATACGCAATTACTGATCTGAACTTCCCAACACCACCCCAGGCATATATTGAGCATTATATCTCCAGGGGTTTATCACAGAAATATAAAATATTCTCTATATTTCCTATTAGTAATAAGCATCCAGAGGCTTATTCTTCTAAAAATTTATAAAACGGATTCTATGTGTTGAAGAAGTAGTAATTGAAAATCTAGAACAGAAAAATTAATAATGCTGAAGAGAGAGAAACAATATTCAAATTTGCCATACCAAACCTGAGAAGGTGGCTGTGGCTCCTTCCTTCACAGATTAATGCATTTGTGTATACCGATATAATCAACAATGGGTACAGCAGATCATACTCTTACTTGAAAAGTGAAAATGATGGTCAGGTACTCCCAAAATGTTCTGGACCACTGCAGGAAGGGACTGGCCATGCCCTATCCAGCCCCACCTTTACAGAATCAGTTTGGAAGGTGAATAAAAAAAGATTAACCACAACTCTATTGCTTGAGTTGCATATTATCTAAGAAAAGAAATCCAGGTGGTCTTGAGAAAGTGAGATGGAGGTAAGGCTGTTGCTCCCTCTGAAGGAGAGAAACAGTACTGTTTTTATTCCCTGTATAAGTATCATAGAGTGAGCCATCGCTATTCATCAACTGCCTGCTGTTATTAATAGTATTGTGTGGCCAGAAATTGGCCATGAGTGCTGCAAACTTTTTAGAAAAGGGAGAGTTCAATGAGTGCTTGAGTAATGGGATTGGTCTTTATAAGAGAAGTGAAACCCATCTCAAACTGACATTTGAAGGACCAGAAGATTTAACTAATCAGAGAGGATGAGGAAAGAAATCTCAGCCCTAGAATGAGCACCAGTATATACCTTATTAATATTAGGTTTGAATCACTGTGCATGGGTGGGGGCAGAGAAGCCTTCATGACATGACATGAAGGCGTTGAGCAGTGGGGTTTCAGATTTCACTTCTTAGGAAGGTTCTCAAAGCTTGCCCATAGTAAACAATTAGTGGATACATATTGAATGAATGAATAATATCTAAAAGCTGTGACCACACCATCAATTTAGTATTGGGAAATAATTTATTGCTTATCTTATGAATCAGAAATTTGGCCACTTTTCTCCAAGTTAAACAGCTGAGAGCATATGAAGGTGGTTATATCTCAGAGCAGAGCACAGTCTCACTTGCTTCTTTGACTTGTATGTGTTTGTGTTACATAAGCACCATGCTGCCACATCACTGGTCCAAGAAACAAGCATTAGATGTCTACACACACCATGAGATTTGTGCTAATGTCTTTCCAAGCATCAGCCTTTAGGCTTGATATGAGACTGAACTCTGGCCATCATTTCTTTAACATCAGAGACTTTATGATGATGAACAGAAACTACATTTACTTAAATTAATATATTGAGATATTATATAAATCGACAATACCTCTCCCAACAAAAATAAAATAGACTACTTTACAAATGAAATTGAATAAGCAGGATAGGCAAATTGGATGTGGAGTTAAATGTGTTTATTTGCCTGACAGGCTGTCTTCACAGATTTGGAAATCCTGGCTGCCATTTTTGCAGCTGCCATCCATGACGTTGATCACCCTGGAGTCTCCAATCAGTTTCTCATCAACACAAGTGAGTTCACCACTAGAGAAGTCATTCCAGATAATTGTATGATTCACTGCTTAATTTTTTTTCCTCCTGATGTTTTCATTATGGATAATCACAAGGATAATAATGAGGCAATCCTTCCATTTCTCTCAAACTGGTCAGGCCTTTCCTGGATACTTGGTCCAGTTTGGCAACACAATGTTTGAGCTTCATGAAGAACTTGGAGAGGGTCACAGGGAACCATAAAAAGTACTCAAAGTTTGGCAATACAATATGTAAGGAAAATATAACAGATAGGAAATTATTCAGTAAGAACAAGAAAAGGTTTGGGGATCACATGATAAGGACTTTTGATATCATGCAAAACTCTCACAGAGCATAGTAAATCACTATTGCCCCTATCTGCCTGGGAAGCAGCTACAAATGTTGAATCTGAGCATGGGAACCTCCAAACAAAAGTAAGACTCCATAAAAAGCCCTGGAATGAGTTTCCACAATTCAGAAAGAAGGGTTGTTAAAAGTTCCACACATTTTCTTCCAACTGCATAGATTTGATTATGGATTGGGAGTAGCTATGGCCTCAGTGACCAAGGGTGGTCCAGCCTTAGCATCCCAAGCCATACTCAAAGGTTTTTTCATGCTTAAAATGTTTGGTTTTCATACCTTTGAAAATCCATTGATTCTCTCAAATAATGCACTATCTCTAAGTAGTGGAAATCTAAGTACTTTGAGAATATTGGTTATTCCACTGTGGTCATGAATAACATCAACTACTGACAGTTTTCTAGAAATGCTTTTTGAGCTATTGTCTGTTCAAAAGTCCTGATCATTAGTCTGTGACCTTTATCCAAAGAATATGTGAATGATCTGGGTTTGGAGTACCCTGGGTTCTTTTACTTCATTCTTCTATTGAATGAGCAAAATGTTGGGGCAGCTACTTGTCTGCATGGGTTATATCAGTTGGTAGAATGTGGTGTCATGAATTAATCCGTATATAAGCCAGTTAGCCTCACACAGAAAAATGGTCTTCCTACTGCAGTCACCTATAGCACTGCAACATATAAAGCTTGCTTGTAGATCAGTGCCCTTGATCATAGGATGAGCAAAACAAGAGTATTCATTGAGGTTGTAACTCAGAGCACACTATTAAAGCACTGAGCATCTGCAATAAAGTCACACATTACCACCACGTGGCTGATATTGTTGATTAAGAGAAAATGTAGTTTCATATGTCAGACAGTCATATTCCCAAGCAGACTTCTGTCTAACAAAAGATGCCTGTGATTTTTCTGTATAAAGGCAGGCTGGCAGCTGCAGCTTGGGTTTCCAGATATTGCAACTTCTGGTGAAAAGAGCCAGAAAATTTAATATCAGAAATGTTCCCAAAAAGTAGTAATGTTTAGTATCATATTAATAGAAAGCTCTAAAAAGTGACATCATTTAGGTAAAATGAGGTTTTATGCATTGTCTTCGACAATCCAAAATTCACAACTGCCAGAGATTAGAGAACATATAAAATGTGAATATAGCTTGAAAATCTCAATACAGGTCATAAAGTTTAGTGGTACTTTCATGCTGTGCTTTTCCAAAGTACAAAATTTTTGAAGACACATAAAAATAGGATTTAGCTGCTCAAGAATGCCCTTACCTAATATTAAATTCTTCATCTGAGATATCGAAGGAGCAAAAGGATTTTAAAATTCAATGTATTTTAATCACAGAGAAAGCTTATACACCAGTAGAAGCATTTTTTGCTTAGAAACGACTTCTGTTTGTAAAGGACCACTGCTTCTCTATGAGGAAATGAGATGTAGCTGGTGGTTCTTGAAATAATGTGGAGAGAACTAGGTCTGATTTCACTTTGAGATAATGCCAACATTCAAATCACAGCCCTTTCTTATGAAGTCATCCTTTTGTCTGATTTATTAGATTCAGAACTTGCTTTGATGTATAATGATGAATCTGTGTTGGAAAATCATCACCTTGCCGTGGGTTTCAAACTATTGCAAGAAGAACACTGTGACATCTTCATGAATCTCACCAAGAAGCAGCGTCAGACACTCAGGAAGATGGTTATTGACATGGTAAGACTTCAGCCTCTCTACGTTCCCCACTTACTGCCATTCTCTCTGATAGACTGAACTTACTAACAGTTTTCATTTTCTTTTTACCCAAGGTGTTAGCAACTGATATGTCTAAACATATGAGCCTGCTGGCAGACCTGAAGACGATGGTAGAAACAAAGAAAGTTACGAGTTCAGGCGTTCTTCTCCTGGACAACTATACTGATCGCATTCAGGTATCTGTTGATAGTCTTTCATTTAACGCAAAGCCAAACCAAACTAAGCTGAACAACAATTAGAAAAAGAAAACAAAGATAAATTCCATTATTTGTATATCCTAGGCTACTACTATAGCTTAGGGCATATTTTAAGAATAAGCTAAGGAATATGGACATTCAAGTTTATCCTCTGATTTGTGAGGTAAAAAAACCCTATTTGTGGAATTGCTTATTAGTTCTATAAATAAATTGCAAACTCTATTTGTAATAGGGCATACGTGACTGTTGGTTCCAAAAGCTTGTGTTTGGATTTAAATCCTATTGACTTGAAGTTTGTTAGGTCTGTTTTGGATATACAAATTGCCATCAGCTGTTCTCCTCTTTCCACGAGTGGAAAATATGAAGTTATCTACTTTGAGTAATTCTTTGCATTCTTTCCAAACTGAGAAAAGGAAATGATAGCAGCATCTGACCTCTAATGTTCCTTCCCATTTTTAAACTCAGTGACTGTGAGTCTAAGAAGACGCACATTTTCCCCCTTGGGACCCTATAAAGGTAAATAACTGACCCAGGCTAGCACCACTATAATACTGTTTGTTCGGTGCATACTTCATAATTATAATGCAACTAAAATGTTCTCGGGTTTAGTACCAAGTGTACTAGTATGAGAGGAATGAGATGTTCTGGCAGTATTTGCACCTAATTTTATGGGATTTCCAAAACTTGATGATTTCAGGTCCTTCGCAACATGGTACACTGTGCAGACCTGAGCAACCCCACCAAGTCCTTGGAATTGTATCGGCAATGGACAGACCGCATCATGGAGGAATTTTTCCAGCAGGGAGATAAAGAGCGGGAGAGGGGAATGGAAATTAGCCCGATGTGTGATAAACACACAGCTTCTGTGGAAAAATCCCAGGTATCTAATATGAGATTTTCAAAGTTTTTGTGAAAATTTGAAAATTGTAGAGCTGGAGGGTCATATTTAGTTCCATTCTTCCAATAGAATATGTATATATGAAACGATAAGGAAACAACCACGCATTTTATTCCATTATAGTCAGGACTCATGTGACTTCTCCATTATACTCAGTTCATAATGTAGGGATAAAGTAGTTACCAGAAACCCATCAAAATTTGGACTGTGTATCTCTAAATCATTTAGATCATTGCCTCTGATGTTAGCATATCCAGCTGAATGACCTGAACACTGGTGTCTCCTCCATCCCATCCCTGTGGATTTCTCCTAGCTCTGTCTTCATTCAAGAGCTCTACTCCTCGTCCTTGCTTCCAGCCCTCTGTTTTTATTTTCTCTCCTTAATCATGCCCACTGCAACCATCACCAGAGGCAGTCTCTTTGACCCCCTAGTCAAAGCCCTGTCTTGTGGCCCTTCCCAAGGATGCTCCTATGATTTTGAGAACATGCCGACATTTTCCAGTTGTGTCCAAAACTACACATTCTCTGTGTGTTTAGGACAGGGAACAATAGTCTGGAGGTGGTGGATACAGAAATGTCCAGATGCCAATAGCTGCAGAATATGCTGCAATGGAAAGTGTCAGTATCCCTACAAAGGCTTCTGGGCTCTCTGAAATACCAGTTTTTTCAAGAAAACAAATGGGCTGAGCCAAGTAGCTGAGATTGAGAATGAGTTCATAGATTGTCCAAGGTCTTTATCGCAAAAATATTTGGTTTGCTTTTTGTCAGTATTTATCCTCTTTCCCTACTACTTGCAAACCCCAAATTTGCATATAGTTGTAATAATGTACAGTTCCTTAGCAATTTTATTTTGTGGCTTCTTAGAGAAACCCAACTAAGTAAGTTTTAAAATATGAAAGTGCTCGGAAGCTAATATGCTGTAAAAATGCAGGATAACATTGTTAATGAGGGTCAGTTAAAAGGCTTAAGTGGAGCAAGATATGAATCAATAAGGAGGAATAACGCCCTTTCATTAATGACAGTGATGTTTTATGTTTATATGATGTTCTGTGGAGCATTTCACACATTTTGCATATATTCTCCTACTTGGATCCCCAAACAACCTTGCAAGATAGATAAAGCGGATATTTCCCCAGTATGTCAGGTACAAAGCTGTCCTCTTGGTTCACTACAGCAGGTGTCTCCATCCAAAGCTCTTCACCCTCCATCTCAGGGACAAGTCTTCCTGTTACCGTGACATCGTTCCCCACTCTTGTATTTCCCACCAATGGGCTCTGCTGAATACTGTCTGATTAACCCAGCAGTAAAGCTCTTTACTGGGTGCTTTCAGGATCCGTTCAGCTCTCTCGTCCTCTGACCTAGGAAATAAATAACTAGCAGCTACCTCTGAAAAAAATTCTCAGCATTTCTTAGCAGAAACAAAACAAGTGAAGAAAGGAAATGACTGCACTGTGTTCAACTTATTTAATTTTCTCCATTGCCTTGAGCTTGTTATTTTGGCTCCCTGGAAAACACCTTGAAAATAGTCTCTAGCATTCATTAAGCACACATAAAGAAGTAAAGGGGAAGGAAAAGGAGTGGGTGTAAGTGAGAGAAATATCTGAATCATGTACAGTTGAGTTTTATAACCAGTACAGAACAGAGATGCCCTGACTTTGCTGTGAATCTTGCTTTTTGAGGCTAGGAAAGCACCAGAAAGAAGAAAAAGAAAAAATATATACATATGTATATGCATTATACATGTTTATATATTATGTATGAAAGAATCACATATGACCAAAATTCTTGTGTACAGTACAACTTGGATGTATTAAATGACCAGCCAAATACCAACATGTTAAAAAGAGAAGTTTATAGCAGTGTTGAAAGAGACCTATATAACATCCCATGGTTGGGTGCCCTTTGCCCATCTACCCCTAAATCCCAACCCAGCATCTCTCTAACTCCCCAGACCATGGCAGGGGAATTCCATTCCCTCATTCAACTAGTGCCTATTCTTTCTCTCTACTTGTCCCCACCCCCAGTGTTTCCTGTTTGTCCAACAATGAGGAGGCCAGCATAAGGCCACACTGCTAGCTCATGCAGGATGCATAGCCTCTGAGTAAACCATAACAGACCCATAAGCCTGGTATTTAATCACAGGAACACCAGCAAAAGGAACTGCTTAATTGTTTTTTATTTTCTCTTCTTTCTCTTGATGGAAATGACTTTGTGCTCTATAGATCCAAAACAATTGCATTCATGTTCACCGAGGGGATATGTGTTTCTTTCAGGGCTTGAAGTAGTTTCAAGTGTTTCATCAAACTCCTCTACCAGCCAAAACCACTCCACAGAATTTGAGAAATTCCAGAGTAGTCAGGGGCCAGCTCCTCATCACTTTGGAATAGCAACATATTTTAAAGTTAACAAGGAAAAAATATTGAGTCAAAACACGTTAGACCTGGGCCTGCCTTCTTCAGAAAATGACTCACAGAATCCAAGTAGTGTAATGACGAAGTCATTCCTAGTGCAGGTTCCATCCAGACTTCTTATCTGGCACACATAAAAGGAAATGCAGTCTGCTGTAGTGAGATGGACACAGGCCTTGGAATCACACGAAGCTGGGACTGAGTCCCAGCTCTACCACTTACTAGTTCTGTGACCTCTGACAAGATATTTAATCTCAATAAGTCATAGTTTCCACCTTTGTAAATAGTAAACAGCAATACTTACTTTACAGGATTAAGAGAGAGAGACTACATCTATTGTATTCAGTGTAAGACCCACCGTATAGTGAGTGCCCAAAATATAGAATCCCTTATGACTGGTTTTTCTGAAGCTGTTAATGTTCTTTCTTTGCATGGAAATCAGGACAGCTTGTTTACATTTCAAGCACCATCACAATAACGGATGTGTAATTTGATTTTTCTCCAGGTTGGTTTTATCGACTACATCGTCCATCCACTGTGGGAGACCTGGGCAGATTTGGTACAGCCTGATGCTCAGGACATTCTTGATACCTTAGAAGATAACAGGAACTGGTATCAGAGCATGATACCCCAAAGTCCCTCACCACCACTGGATGAGCAGAACAGAGACTGCCAGGGTCTGATGGAGAAGTTTCAGTTTGAACTGACTCTTGATGAGGAGGATTCTGAAGGACCTGAGAGGGAGGGAGAGGGGCACAGCTATTTCAGCAGCACAAAGACACTTTGTGTGATTGATCCAGAAAACAGAGATTCCCTGGGAGAAACTGACATAGACATTGCAACAGAAGACACATCCCCAGTCGACACATAATCCCCCTCTCCCTGTGGAGATGAACATTCTACCCTTGATGAGCATGCCAGCTATGTGGTAGGGCCAGCCACCATGGGGGCCGAGGCCTGCACAGGACAAGGGCCACCTGGCTTTTCAGTTACTTGAGTTTGGAGTCAGAATGTAAGACCACGAAGCGAATAGCAGCTCAGGAAATCCCACGGTTGACTTGCCTTGCTGGCAAGCTTGGTGGAGAGGGCTGAAGCTGTTGCTGGCAGCCGGTTCTGACCATGATACATGGCTTGAAAATGGAAGACACAAAACTGAGAGATCGTTCTGCACTAATTTCGGGAACCTATCCCCGCTAGTGACTGAACTCACTGACTAATAACTTCATTTATGAATCTGCTCACCTGTCCCTTTGTCTGCCAACCTGTGTGCCTTTTTTGTAAAACATTTTCACGTCTTTCAAACGCCCGTTGAATACCTAGAGTTTAGTATCAACTTCTACACAGATAAGCATTCAAAATTGACAAAGCTTTTTGACTCTTTCTGGAAAAAGGAAAGAAAATAGTCTTCCTTCATTCTTGGGCAATATCTTTCACTTTACTGAAGTTACTTTTGCAAACAGAAAGGATACACTTCTAACCACATCTCACTTCCTTCCCCTGCTGTCCAATCCAACTCCACAGTCACTCTTATAACTTATCTCTGTTTGCCTGCCTCCAGCAGTATTTAACTTTTTGCTGTAAACACGATAAAATTGAACAAATTAGGAGGTAGAAATGGGCAGTTGTGTCGCTCACCATGAGCAGCGTGCCCTGCTGTGTCTCGGACCCTCCACCAAAGGAGTTGTACATTCCGTGTCCTGTTCCCTACCTCCTCTCTTCACCCAGTTACGCTGTTTTCAATGTAATGCTGCCGTCCTTCTCCTGCACTGCCTCCTGTGCTAACACCTCCATTCCTGTTTATAACTGTGTATTTATTAATGTATATAATGTAATGTTTTGTAAGTTATTAATTTATATATCTAACATTGCCTGCCAACGGTGGTGTTAAATTTGTGTAGAAAACTCTGCCTAAGAGTTACAACCTTTTCTTGTAATGTTTTGTATTGTGTATCATATAACCCAAATGTCACTTAGGAGAGACATACAGCCCCCTTGGCGGAGAGGATGGAGGGTGGGCTTTTGTTAAGAGGGTCTGCCCTTTCTTTCCCTGCCTGAGTTGCTACTTCTGCACAACCCCTTTATGAACCGGTTTTGGAAACAAGATTCTCACATTAGATACTAAATGGTTTATACTCAGCTTTTACTTTTGTATAGTTTGATAGGGGCAGGGGGCAATGGGATGTAGTTTATACCCAGGTTCTATCCAAATCTGCGTAGGCATGAGTTGGGTTCTAACTGGGTCCTCCTATCATTATGGCTTTGGTTCAAAAGCAACACTACATTTGCCTACAGATGATTCTTCTGAATGCTCCCGAACTACTGACTTTGAAGAACTAGCCTCCTGCCTGCCATTAAGCAGGAATGTCATGTTCCAATTCATTACAAAAGCAAACAATTAAACAATGTGAATTTTTATAATAAAATGTGAACTGATGTAGCAAATTATGCAAATGTGAAGCCTCTTCTGATAACACTTGTTAGGCCTCTTACTGATGTCAGTTTCAGTTTGTAAAATGTGTTTCATGCTTTCAGTTCAGCATTGTGACTCAGTAATTACAGAAAATGGCACAAATGTGCATGACCAATGGGTTTGTATGTCTATGAACACTGCATTGTTTCAGGTGAACATTTTATCGTTTTCAAATGTTTCTCACAATGTATGTTATAGTATTATTATTATATATTGTGCTCAAATGCATTCTGAAGAAACTTTTATATGAAGTGAATAAACAAAAGCATGATTAGATTAGTCTGTAGGCCCAGTTATTTCACGGTTGGGTCTGACATATGAAAAGCAGATCTTTCTCTTCTCTTCTGCCATTCACCACAAAGAAAGCCAACCGCTTTGTCCAGCCAATATCACAACTGAAGTTTTAGAATCTATGTCCAAAATGTCCCCTAGTTTGGAACATTACACTTTTGTCTTAGCAACTGTTCACTCAGCTCAATGATGCAGGAAGGGGGTTGAGGAAGGGAAACAAACAAAACCACTTTGCTCATCTCGAACAGTCTTCTTCTACCTCTTTAAGAGTCTGAAGAGTTTACTGTAGATAAATAAAGGGAATCCCCAACTTGGCTGGGTCCTCTAGAAAGTGAATCATAGATTATAGAACATTAGTATAATGCAGTCAGAGAGTCCCATTGATTCATTTGACACATAAAGAATCTGAGATCCAAAGAGTCATCTGAAACCGCAACCCGCAGAGCATGGGTGGACACTCAGGTTTTCTCAGTGATCCATGCAGCCTCTTGTTGCTCATATGGCTATGATTTTCCTTCTGGAAATAACTGTTTATAAGAAAAATACTTAAATGCTTTGTTGAAACCTTAAAGTCAGCATTTTAAAATATTTTATCCTGAGAAGGGTGTGTGTTTATGTGTGTGTGTTTGTTGCAGAATGTTGCAAACAAGAATCAGTGTTGGCCCATGATAATTTAGCCACAAGGAGGTGCTCTGTGAACCAGTAAGAGAGTCGTCTCTAAACACAGCTGAAATTAAGATGAGCCGACATTGCAAACCAGCTTGCCTGCTGTTACGGAGCTATTTCCAATACTTTCCATCATCTCTGATTTCTGATTGCACCCCCACATCTCTGAGAGTTTGAAATGGAGCAAGGTAAATTGCTTACAATAGCCATAGTTGTGAATAATGCCTAGAACTATAAATATTCACAAGTCTGTTTTCTACTGAGAAAATTGTAAATAAGAATCATATGGGAAATAAATATTTTTTAAAATACTTGTTTGGAGCCCATCCTCCTCCCGGATTTATGATTGAAGCCTTGGTTGAAGCCCTGGCCATCAGATTTTTAAAATTTTCCCAGGCTGAAGGGCATGGCACAATCTTGGCTCACTGCAACCTCTACCTCCCAGGTTCAAACAATTCTTGTGCCTCTGCCTCCCATGTAGCTGGTACTACAGGCATGTGCCACCATGCCTGGCTAATTTTTTGTTTCTTAGTAGAGATGGGATTTCACCATGTTGCACAGGCTAGTCTCAAACTCCTGAGCTCAGGCAATCTGCCCACCTCAGCCTCCCAGAATGCTAGGATTGCAGGCATGAGGCACTGCGCTGAGTCTCTCCCCAGGTAATCTTAATGAGCAATTGGAGGAGAGATCCACTGCTCCGAAACAAAGAATCACACCTGCAGCTGAGGTGTTCTTTCACCCCCACTATCTTCAGATATTCATTGTGCATTCATCATGGCCAGCATATCATGCCCAGTATAGCTGTTTTAAACCGCAATTTTTGTTATAGCCCAGTTTTATCTTACTGGCTGGCTTCTAACCTAACTTCTAGGTAAGATGAAACAGCACAGTTTCACTAGTTTCCTATTCAGAAACCTCAAGAACCAGGCCGGACCTCAGGAGTCCAATCTAACCGTAACCTTCTTGAGTACTAGGAACCCTGCCTAGTACTTTCTCCTCCATTTTCACTCGGCCTAGCATCATACCTGGCACAGCGTTCATACTCAAACATTTGTTGAGTAATCTGGATGTTGACGATGTAAAACTTCAATTAACAGGAAGATCAGAAGAATGCACATTCTAGGCAATTTAACTTTCGGCTTCTCTCATTTGATTGCAATGATCTGTTTTCAGATGCCTCCCCATATAGCACCGAGCCCTCTCCAAAACAGAATAATGTTTTTTGTCTGGTCTCTTTTTTAACCTTTGTATTCTTCACCAACAAACACTAAACTGGCCCTAAGCAAAAGGAGAACCAGTGATGTTTGTTGAGCTAATAAATCAAGACACAAGTGGAACCCTTTTTATTGAAATTACTTGTGAAATATGAATCTACTTGATTTTCTTGTGGAAGGAGTAGAATATACCGGGAAAAACATAGTTTGACAAACCTATGTTCCATGCCTTTTCCTGTACCTTCCTAGTGGTGGGAATTTGTGAAAATTGTTTAAATTTTTGAGCCTAAATGTTCTCATTATTAAATGGAGCTACCAATAGACAGCCAAAGATGAAATCAGATATAGCATTATACACAGTAGATGCTCAATAAATCTTTGTTATCTGAATGTATGTACTCATGGATGAAGGGATTAATATTTAAAAACTTCTAAAAATCACCTGTAAAAGGAGAAGGCAGCAACACATTTTGATTAATTTAGGGTTCTTGAAATCAAGTTCCATCTAATCTAGCTTTTCATACATCCACTTCCTATGTGTGTTTTTCCACATACACATAGGAGGATAAATGCTCTCACTTCAATCCATCATATGGGACTCTGCTGACGCTGACAGGCTCACTGAGTGGGAAGGAAACTTGCATTGCTCATCCTTTTCCATGCTATAGAATCCCTACAGAAATATGCCTGTTTGAAAGCATCAGGTAATAGATAACTCAGCAAGGCCCTTTTGAAATAATGTAAGTTATAAGGTTTCTGGGAATCAAATTGTACTCTTCTAGAGCAGCCTTTCTTGCTTGGTTTTTTAAAAATATTTCTAGCTAAATAATGTATGTAATTCCTCTTTTAATTTCCTGTTTCAATTGAAAATAGGAGCCAGACTTTTTCACTCTGTGACCTCAGGAAAGTTTATATGACCTCTATGCACCTCAATTTCCTCATCTGTAAAACACTGGTAATAATAACAGCACCTATTTAATAAGATTATCTTGAGAATTAAATGAATTAAAGCTGAAAAATAGTAAAACTCATGTCTGGCTTATAATATGCATGAACAAATGTTAATATATAGCTAAAGGCAGCATGTTTTCTACACTGTATCTCCTTCAACCATTATTCGTGTGACTTATCTTCACCATTCTGGTCAGATTATTCTGGGCTTACACAGACAGACAGTGCTCTTTTAGGATGAGTGCCTCAGAACCAAGCACCATACTTCACTCACGGTAGGGCACAGCGTGACTCATGCTCTTCTTTGTTCTGGGATCTGTTCTATAATCCAAGATTGTATTCATTTGGAAGGATATCAGTGACTCACCTGGATAATTCATAAGATGCTTACAGGCAAAAAAACCCTTCACTCCTTTTCACATAAACCGCTGTTAAACTAAATCATCTCCACTTGGTTCTCGTACAGTTAAGTTTCTGAATTTCAGTGCAGAATGTATACTTCTCTGATACATTTCATCTGAAAAACAAGTAGGGTATAGGAAAGAGCGTTTTCAGTTTGAGTGTCAGATTGACCTATTTGTAAATTCCAGCTCCAGCACTACCTGTACAACCTCATAGAAGGTATGCAATTGGTTTGATGTTTAGTTTCCTTTTCTGTAGGAGAAATATTATCCACATAAAAATTATTTGGAAAGGCAAAGGAAAGCATCCAGCACATCAGGGCATACAATAAATGAGGGTTATTAGTAATATTAATACCTACTATGGTGATTAAATGAGATAATGTATGCATGGAAAAAATCCTCATATTACTGTTTTTAGTTCATTATTCTTGGCCTAAAACTTATTTTGAATTCTGATTCTGATAACCCACAAACTACATCCTTCCTGCCAGAATGTGTTATCTGTATCTTTGAAAATAATGTATTTTATATTTTTATTTACACTTTAGTAAAATGTTAACCAGAACAGGACAAAGAATAGATATGTGTTAAGTTGCCAAAAGTCTTCCTTATCAGCAATGAAACATTAATCAATGTCCCATGGGTAATGGCACTACGTCGATCACAAATTCACCTATGTACACCATCACCTAGGCCAATCTGGACAAAAACATATCAGGAAAAGACTGTGATTAAAGACTTTTCTGAAATTCAGATATACCATGAGTAAAGCATTTGCCTTTTTGTATAATCTATTAGCCCTAACTAACTGAGAAAAGAGACTATGATAGCGTGACTTGTCTTAAAAGAATTAATGCTAGTTACTGCCCTCTCAAATGGCCTGCAAACCATGAACTAATAATCCATTCCAGAATTCTCCATACAATTGATGTCATGCTTGACATTGTGTAGTGCTGGACTCTTTATTTCTAAAGAGTGGGAAAATATTTGCCTATCACACACCCCCAGATTTCTGGTCTGTTTTGTGGTCTCTCTGATTTCTGGTAGCTCACCAATTATGAGCCAAAAACACATTGAAAAGCCCTTTCAATATCATGGGAAATGATGCACCTAGAAACATGAAGCTACTTAAGAACAGAGCTGCTCTCCCAATTCCTCTTTGCTTTATGCGGCAAGTCTAGCAGAAGCACATGATATTTGTGCACATGGATACAAGTTTAAAACTTAAATACTTTTAACTGAAGAACATTGTCTTCTTCCACCAAATACAGTTTCATAAAGGATCCCCATTGAGTAGAGAAGGATGACTGGGGAATCTACCTAATTTGAATGGGTTCTTTAGAACCTACCATTGCTTAATTCAGTAAACATGTACTGAGTCCTGAATACTTTCCGGCACTGTTCTGAGACATTGCCCCTATATCTTATGTATTGGAGTATATACGAAATGGATGTACAGACAAAAACCCTCAGTAGCAGTATAAGACATGCTGACTAAAGGAACACATAAAGAACACTAAAATGGGAGCATCTAACTCCTTTGGGAGAGTAAATTAGGGAACATTTCTGATAGAAGGACAAGGTTGAGTCTTTAAGAATGTGTAGAAAGCTGTCAATAGACCTGGATCAAGAGACGAAGAGCAGGAAGACCTTTGTTACAGGAGGAAGGAAGAGCGTGTACAAAGTAGAGAATAGGAAAGAGTATTCTTGAGGCCCATTCATACATTCATTTATTTCAAAACTATTTA